CTAGAGCGAGGGCTACATGGTGGAGGGGACCTGGGGGAGGGTTTGTAAAACAATGAAAGAATCCTTTCTTTTACTTTTCCATAATTTTTGACTCATGTACTTATAACTTGTTAGTCAAGACCTTAGTTTCAATAGTTTTCTTGCCCTGGTGTAAAAATGATTATCTGTTTTTATTCTGTTCTTTGTTAGTAACATCTTCAAAGGATCAGCAGTGTGTATATACAGCATGAATGATGTGAGAAGAGTATTCCTTGGCCCATATGCTCACAGGGATGGTCCCAACTATCAGTGGGTACCTTATCAATCAAGAGTCCCCTACCCACGACCAGGAACTGTAAGTACTTAGGTGTTTGCAAAAGAAGGGAATGCAATGTGGGATGTTGGTGGCTGAGTCTGATGACTTCTGCTTGATTCATTATGGGGAACTGTTGTAGTAGGCTAGATTCTAAAGATAATAGGCTCAAAGATTCTTTGCTGTGATTCTATGCTGTCCTATGCAATCATAATTAGTTGATTGACCTGTTAGCAGTTGGTTTAATTGGTTTGGACAATATAACATATTTCATTCATGACTTCATCTATTTCATTATTGAAATATATGAAAGTGTCATGAATTGAGGCAACAGAATCCTCCTTTATCTTTAATCAGTGGATGCATTTGTCATTTTGGGTATAAATAGTAAAATAATAAAGAATGAATGTGTTTAAGAAATATGTGTTATGTAATAAATGTATTAGTTTAACACATTACTTTTATTTTTCACTTTATCAGTAAGCTAAGTTTAAAAACATTAGTAATAGGATTACCAGACATATTAATGACATATGTTAGATAATTTATAGACCCATTTATCAGCATTTATTAAGAAAAAATTTTCTTCTATCATAATAGTGCCCAAGTAAAACATTTGGTGGATTTAACTCTACAAAGAGCTTTCCGGATGATGTCATAACATTTGCAAGAAGTCATCCAGTAATGTATAACCCTGTGTTTCCTATTAATAACCACCCAATAATGACTAAAACAGAAGTAAATTATCAGTTCACACAAATTGTAGTGGATCGAGTGGATGCGGAAGATGGACAGTATGATGTTATGTTTATTGGAACAGGTAAGATTTTTATTTTCAGCATTAAATTTTATTCTTGAATACTGTATTAACTGATGAAGAAAGCTAAACACGGAAAATAATTATAGTCATTCTCAAGGTAGAGTTAAACTCTTTAAAAAACTAAACAAAAAAGAACACACAACAAACCAACATTCTACTATTACAGTTGTATTCTTTTTTTAGTCAAGTTGGCATATATTAATTTAAAATAAAATTCCTTTTTAATAAAGAGTTGATTAATGTAATCAGGTAAAGGTAAAGGTAATGATCCATGTCCATAATTGAGGCATAACTCTTTTCTAGCTAGAGGCTTTTTAGGGCAAAGATGTATAGCTGAAAATTATCTAGAAATTCTGAAGGCATTCTATAATGGTTCCTGGATATATTAAAGCCAAGTTACCTGAACTTTAAAATTCCCATAGGGTGCAAAATCTCCAGCAAATAAATTTTGGCAGCAAAATTTGCTTCAGTTATCTCCCTATAAATGCGGGTGAGGGGAAGGGGGAGAATCTCTGGAGTAAATAACAAAATTGGCCCAAAGAGTCATCAGATAAATTTAAGATCTATTTTATGGAAATTTGACAACATATTTCTACTAATTCCATGATTACAAGGAAACTATTTGCAAGCTTATTTTAAGAATAAATCCTGTTATTATAATATTGCCTCCCCTCATTCTCTTTTAACAATATTACTTTTTTTTTAATAATAGCAATTACAAATCTGAAACTTGCTACTTAGGGTCAGATTCCAAGGTAATAAATTCCCAGTCCCCATTAACATTGTTAACTGACATAAATCAATGAGAAACAGAGTGAATGCTCCACCGAAACCTTGTTTAATAACATATTTTCCCTTGGTGAGAAACATGGCAAAGGGAAAAAAAATTAGATTAACTACAGGGGAATGGCAACTGTACATTAAGTGCCTCAAAGACTAAAAGTTTTATAATGAAATTGTGAAGTTCTTATGTTATCAGGTGTAACAGTGTCCGATTTGGAGCAACATATCACAATCTGCTTTTATAGTTGGGAAAGTTTCTCTATCAAATAAAAGATTCCCAGGGAGACTTAGAGCCCAGTCATTTAAAACATAAAATCAATGGATTTTAAGTATCAACTTTTGGTTATAAAGACCTCTAGAAAATATAGGATGACAGAATGCCCTTCTTAAATATTAACTTACCATTTCATGTCAAACTGCAATTGACTATCTTCACAGTAATTAAGTTTGTTCAATAATATGACACTTATCCCGCTCTAGTTCTTTTTTCCTCCCCTCTGGCTTAACCTTGTTGAAAAGTCTCTCACTCATTGTCAGTGTAACAAAAGCTTACTTCCGCTTCTTTGGCTGAAGAAACCCAATCATTAGCTTTTAATTCCTTTTGGACACAAGCTCTTTAAAGGCACTGATTTTATGAGCTGGTTGAATGTCTTAATGATATGGATGGCTATCCATCAGTACAGACCAGGGTCATCTGTCAGCAAAGTAAATTGATTGCAGTAATTTTATCTTTTAACTAAGTTGCATAACATAGTATATTGATCCTGGATGAGTAATCTGATTCAGTTTGTGTGAAATTGTTTGAAATACTACTCAGAAAGGCTAGATCTGGGGCACAGATAAAGTTGTGTTTGGGTACTGGAGACCTGATCAGAGCCACTGAGCAGATTAACATAAATTACCTTTAATCTTGGGTGTTATGAGTAGTCTAAGGTCTTGTAAACACAGAAGGATCCTCTTAAAAGGGAGCTTTTGTTTTTTTAATAAAAGCTACAAGAGATACTCTGCCAAATTTTCTTGATCTCGCATAGTACATCACATGGTTCCCTTGAAAATGATTATCAATAATATGATTAATTGACACATTTTGCTTAAATGTAATTTCTTCATAGGTTAAGATTTTCTTCTCCAGTAGTCTGAAACTCAATAAAAATGAGGCAATTTAAGATAAAAAGAATTGTTCAGGTTTTATCACAGTTGTAATTTGTAAGTTGTTGTTGATTGCCTTCGAGCCGAGTAAAACTCATAACAACACTAAGAACAAAAGATCTGAAGCCTTTCTATAACTATAATCATTTCTCAAAGTTCATAGTTTTCAGAGGCATGTTGTTTAGGAAGTGAATGCCACTCCTGCAGAGTCACATGTTAATTTTTATATTTTATAATAAATGCCCCGCTCTTCCAAAGAATAGAATACCGTAGACACAGGAAAATTAGTATCTCCTGAATACAAATCAGAGTAAAAGTTATAACTCTTGTCATTAAAATTAATATTGTCATTAAAATAATAGGCATAATATGCAATGATAGTATGCAAGTCTACAAAATGTACCATTTTGTAATTTTAAATTTCTAGTACATTAAATTTGACAAACCAGTGTATCCAGTATGTGTTATTAAGTGTCCATGATAATAAATAACCCTAGATGCTTCTTTTGATTAATTGGGCTATTCTCATTCATCATGTTATAGCTATTAAACTGTCTCTACCTGCCTCTAACTTGAAGTTGTCATGAGGTCTCGATGGCATAAAGAATGAAACATTTGGCTGCTAACAAAGTTCTACAGTCTAAACTTACTGGTGGTGCTTTTGAAGAAGGATGTGTTTAGGAATTGTGCTTTTAAAGCTACTCACAACGTTGAAACCCTACGAGGCTGTTTTATTCTGTCCTATAAGGCCACTATGAGTTGGAATCTACTCAGTGGCAAGGAGTTTAGTGTTTTATTTTGTTTTTCAGTTGACATGAGGAGTCGTCAATGTTCTGAAGATTAATTTCTAATGTTTGATATTTTAATTATTCTCCACTTGCATTTCTTATTTGCATTTTACTTTTACACTTAGTCTTCATAGTTGTTCTCTGTTTAAAAAAAAAAAAAAGTGAAAAAACCGGTCATGTCAAACTGGTATTATTTTTAGGCATTTTCCCCAAGATACCTGATAATTAAGGAGATTTTTTTTAAAGCAATAAAGATCCAATCCAACACAAATCTGTAGTGCTTATTACTTAAAAAAAAAATCTTGTCTCTTCATGATAAAGCCTTCATGAAGGTATATTTCTAGAAATTCCGTTTTTTTCTTCAATGTTAAAAGCTGTCTCAGTGAATGAAACACATTTGAATATATTTTTAGTAATGTCGTGGCAAAAGTATATGACAGGGAAGACTGAGCTAAAAATGGTCTTTCAAGCAAACAAACATAGTTAATTTTATCTATGAGTTTTAAACTCTGTTAAGATCTGTTTAAATGATGGTTTCCTCTCCCCTCTCCCCTTTTTATTTCAAAGACATTGGGACTGTTCTTAAAGTAGTTTCAGTTCCTAAGGAGACTTGGAACGATTTAGAAGAAGTTTTGTTGGAAGAAATGACAGTGTTTCCGGTGAGTGCTGCTTAATTTCAGGTGTCAACAAGCTCAGTTGTACGTCTTTCCCCCAGGACAGCTGCACGCTGAACTTGCTATGGACAAGAAGTCTAGTAAACTCTTCTAATTAGCTTGTCAATTAGAAAGCCAGACACTAGTCAAAATAAACCTTGAAACTTTCAATCCTAGTTAAATCTAAAGAGGTAAAGGAATATATTCTTGGCTCATATTTGATTTTCTCAATGATAAAATATTTGATTTACATTTTATGTTATTTATTTAACTTACCTCAATGGACAAATTTTGCCCCTAAAATCTACCACTTACTAGTTTATAGTGTAATTGGGATGAAATGTACTTTTCCTGAAAGAATTAAAGGAGATACATTTATAATTAAAGGGAAATGAAGACATTTAAACTATTTGGAGATTTATTCTTAAGTTATATTTTCTTATTAATTAATTTTTTAGCAAAAATATGTTTCTATTGGTTTTAGTCTCTCTGGTAACATCTTTTATAATGGAGTAATTATCTATCCATTTTAATCCCTTTGTCTGAAACCATGGATCTTCATGGTGCAGGTTTTGTTTATTTCAGGAAGATTGAGGTAGAAGTAAGAAGATATATGCTGATGTAGAAAACAGTATCTTTGCTCCCTTTTTGAAATATGTAAAATAGTATATAATAATTAAAGTTTACTTTGATATGAAATATATATAAAAGCATAGTATGAATGTAGGTGCTTGTAACAGTCATTTAAAAAATTTGAGGACAGACTAGAACAAACATGGATTGGGATTTCTTTTTTATTTTTTTAGGAATTTTTTTATTAGTTTGCATATAATATTTGTTCACATTATGTTTCATTCATTGGCATTGTGGTTTACATAATCTTTCATTTATACTGTGTTTTATAGAATCACTCAAACATTATATTTTTTATAATTAATTACTATTCTTCTATTGTTTGGAATCCTAATTGATTTTTCCTATGCTCTTACCCCCTCAACCACCAATTAAACTTTCCTATCATAGTGATCTCTACTGTTCCCCTTTCTTCCATCCTTTTCCTCTTTTCCCCTTCCCCTTTGGGACATATATATACACATCTAACTAGTTATCCTTCTATTTTCACAATAATAGCCTTATGTATTATTTGGGATTCTTATAAACTGAAAAACAGACTGGATAAACAACAACAACAACAAAAAAAACCCCTTTAGCTATATTATCCCAATTTATATTATCTCATTTAATTTCCAGTTGTATAAAGTATGTTTAATGTGATGGAATAAAATTGCTTAAATTTTTTTTGGTTCAATCAACGGAAGAGCTTTATAGTTCCATATTTATTTATTTTTTTATTAATTTCAATGAACATCTACAGAGATTTTGGATTTCCACTCATTCATTGTTGCACTTTTCTCCCCGTCCACCCCACTCCCACCCCAGTTTGCTCCTCTCCTTGAAAAGCAAAAGAAAAACTCCTTCATTGGTACACAATCCCCCTGCACACCCCCACCCCCAGTATACTCCACTCTGCAACCTTCATTCCAGACTCTTATAATAATCATAACACCCTAAAATACATTATTTTTAAACTATTTTCTCCCTCATCGGCTTTAATGCAGTAAACATAATTTATCCAGTTTTTCTCAGTCTTACCCCCACCCTGATGTCAGCCTCATTCTACAATAGTGGCACCATATAGTATTTGTCCTTTTGTGACTGAGATATTTCACTTGGCATAATGCCCTCCAGGACCACCCATTTTGAATAATGTTACATGAGTTCCTTGTTTTTCAATGCAACATAGTATTCCATTATGTGAATATACCACAGTTCCTCTATCCATTCGTTTGTTGATGGGCACTTAGGTTGTTTCCAACTCCTTGCTATTGTGAACAAAGCCGCGATAAACATGGGTGTGCGTATATCTGCTTGGATGCCGGTTATGGTCTCTTGAGGGTATATTCCCAGTAGTGGAATTGCTGGGTCAAATGGTATCTTTATTTGCAACTTTTTGAGAAAGCGCCACACCGCTTTCCACAGTGGTTGCACCATTTTACACTCTCACCAACAGTGAATAAGGGTTCCGGACTCTCAACAACCTCGCCAGCATTTGTTGCTTGCTGTTCTGTTAAATTTTGCTAGTCTTATTGGAGTGAGACGATATCTCCTAGTTGTCTTAATTTGCATCTTTCTTAGAGCTAGGGATTTTGAACATTTCTTCAGGTGCTTGTTGGCCATCTGAATGTCTTCTTTGGTGAAATGTCTGTTCATATCCTGTGCCCATTTTTCTATTAGATTATTTACCTTTATCTTGTTGTAGTGTTCAGGTATTTTATAAATTCTAGATATAAGTGCCTTATCTGACATGTCATTACCAAACACTTCTTCGCAATCTGTGGCTTCCCTTTTTACCCTGTTGGAGAAGATTTTGGATGTGCATAGGGATTTGATTCTTAGAAGGTCCCATTCATTTATTTTATCTTCTCCTGGTTGTAAATTTTTCAGGATACTGGGCATACTCTTTATGTTGTGGATTAGGACTACTAAGATTCTTCCAAGCTTTTCTTTAATGAAGTTTATAGTCCTTGGTTTTAATCCTAGTTTGTATATGGATTGAGGTGTGTATCTTGCTTAAGTCTTCTGTAGATAGTTTTCCAATTTTGCCAGCACCATTTGTTAAAAAGGCTGTCATTTCCCCACCTAACTGATTTCATCTCCTTGTAAAAAATCAGTTGACCATAATAGATGGGATGATTTCTGGGTTCTCAATTCTATTCCATTGATCTATGTGTCTGTCATTGTACCAGTACCATGCTGTCTTAAATACGGCAGTGTAGTAGGATTTTAAATCAGGGAATGAGATGCTTCCTACCTTTCTACTATTTTTAAGGAGTGCTTTGCTTATTTGGGGCTTCTTTCCATTCCAAATGCAGCTGGAGATTGCCTTTTCCATCTCGTTGAAGAATGGGATTGGTATTTGTATTGGGATTGCATTGAAAGTGTAAATTGCCTTTGGTAGTATTGCCATTTTCACAATATTGAGTCTTCCTTATCCATGAGGAAGGGATATTCTTCCACTTCTCCAGGTCTCTTTTTGTTTCTTGTGGTAATGTTTTGTAATTTTCTTTGAATAGATCCTTTGTGCTTCTAGTTATATTTACTCCATAGTATTTTATCTTGTCATTAGCTATTGTGAAGGGTATTGTTTTTCTTAGCTCCAGCTCTGTATTCTCTTTGTCACTGTAGAGAAATCCTATAGTTCCATATTTCTATATTCATCTGTCAACCTAATGGAGCTCTAGCTAATTACAGAAAGTATTTTGAAGAGAAAATTAAGTGTAACATGGTAAAAAAAATGAAATAAAAACCTTATCTCTCTCAACTCTAATTACCTTTGAGTCATAACTGACTCATAGTTGATCTTCTGGTAGGTTTTTAAAGGCTGTATGTATACATCGAGTAAATACGTATATACTAATCCTGTTATAATATGTATTGAAAACAATAACTGCTATATCATATTATTGGCATTTTGTAATAATGAGTAAATAGTGCTCTTGTTAAAGTGTTCAAGGCTCTTTAGCCAGACAGATCTGCATTAAAGTTCTGTTTGGCACACTCATAGCAAAAATTAGAAAGAGCTCCCTTTCCAGCAACCTTCTTTACTAACCTTGATATGTTATTGTTGTTGTGTACCATTATAGAACCAACCCATAGCTGACCCTCCTGCAGGTTTTCAGAGGCTGTTAATTGCACAGGAGATTACCCATCCTTCTCTACTGGAGCAGCTGGTGGATTTGAACCATGTGCATTCAGAATTGCTGCACAGATTCTTACCACCAGGACACTAGAGCTCTCTAGATTTTATATGTTTTATATGTTTTTTAAAAGAATGAAACAAACTACTGATTATATATACTTGAATATTGTCATTATTTTTGTTACTGAATTTATGATAAACATTAAAAATTTAAGAATTTTATTTTCCAGATACAAAATTTGCCATAGACCTTTTACTTATTTTCACTCTATTTTTCATATATTATTACAACATATTTATTCATTAACTTATCTATTAAAAAATACTTCCTAATTCCTTGGACTTGGCACAATGCTAAAACCTGGTAATAGAGATGAACGCTACAAAAATGGCCCCTATCTCTTTCATATACCTCATAATTTTAAGGTCTAAATTTCTTATTGAAGAATACAATTACATAACCTGAATTGGAACTTTATTAATTCATGTTATGCTGTTTAAAAGCAAGGAAGTGTTTTTTTTCCTATCATCTAGTTGTTTTCTACGAGTTAATGTATCAGCATATGATCTCTAAGATTTTATGTCTATGTGCATCATTAATTAGAACATCAATAAAATATTAAATTTGAGGAAACCTTATTTAAATGACTTTCAGTAAAATCACATTAGAAGTCAATAATCTTTAAATATAAATATTTACTATTTGATATTAGTTCCTAAAGAAATGTATAACCAACTTCTACATTTCGTATCTGTTGAATAACATGTTTAGTATTTAAAACACTATGGGAAATGGTTTTTCCTAATGTCTAACAATTGTCAATGAGGATCAAAGATCTTCGTGTGATTATACTTGAATATAAAGAATATCCTTACCATCATGATCAATGGAGAAAAGACTGGTGTCTTCAAGGCTTTTCCACCTCAATTAAAGTCCCTAGAAACAGCATTCAAGGTGCCAAACAAAATACTGCATTGGACAAGTCAGCCGGTAAAGACCACTTTATATTGTCAGAAAGCAAAGTTCTAATCTTAGTTCATCTTTAGAACTAAGATACCTAACTTAAGCCATGTATTTTCAGTCATCTTATATGCTTATAATTTTTTTGCTCGCCAGTGCAGAATTCAACAAAGTTTGAGAATGAAATATTACAATTGTTGGACCACAAAAAATGTATGAACACTATGTGACAGAATATACTTTATCTCATATTCTGTTTTTGTATTATTCAGAGGAACCAGTCCC